TCCACAGAGGACAGAAGAGGCCATCAGATCCCCTGGAACTGGAGTTATGGATAGTTGTTAGCTGCCATGTGGGTGCTGGGATTCGAACCCAGGTCTTCTGCAAGAACAGCCAGTGTTCTTAATAACAGAGCCATCTCTCCAACCCCGTTGAGCCATAATTTCTAACAGAGTATTGATAATTTGTATATTTGAAGAGTGCCCCAAAGTTATTTTTTATCACCAGGAAAATTTGAGAAATGCAAAATATTTTCTGATGATGCCTTGGGAACTCGTGGGAGTGAAAGGAATTGGATAACCTGGGAGAAGAAAATGCCGACAATGGAAATATCTATTGACCCATGAACATTATCCAGCCAGCTGTTAGTGTCAGGCAACAGTACTAGACAGATCAACATACAAAGGAGTCCCTACCCTTTTGAGGCATATGTTCTCTGGCTTTCTATAAAAATGTTGACATGTGTTTCCCTGAAAGCAATAGGTTGAGAAAAATGCTGCCTGGCACATGCTTCCAATTGTACTACTGTACAATCTACTAGGAATGACCCAAGACCAGCAGATTCTAGAGTCCCTGAACACCCCAAACAGTATAGTTCCGACTCTACTACCTCCAACTTTATGCAGTAAGTAATACCAATTTCAGAATCTATCACCTGTCCTAAAATACAAGCAAAGAGATTCAGCAGTATTTTCCTCATTATTAAATATGAAATATCATATTACTGAAAATGAAGTATTATTTTTGTGCCCCCCCTTTCTGATGCTCACTAGGCAAACTAACCCTGAGGTTTGGGTCTGATAAACTGCCTGCTATTCATAACTGTGGTCAAGTATGGGTGGTCAAGTCCTGGTTCCTAAGAGGACCCAACCCTCATGAACAATGGGTTTCACAAGCAAGGATCCACACCTTCCCCATCCTTTATCCTCTGAGAAGCTAGAATGGGCTTATACCATGCTTTAGCAGGTGGCCGTTTCACGCATTAGTTGCTACCGTGATGTCTGTCACTGCTCTATTAAATTCTTTGGTCACAGAATATTAACTAGTGTGATTCATCAGAGATGCAGACATAGGCACTAAATGAGCTCAAGAAAACTATCCTATTTTCCTTCTTTAAAATTCATTTCTGGGGTTGACAAGGTGACTCAGGTGGTAAAGTGCTTGCCAAGCTCTCCTGGGATCTGAGGTGGATTCCCCAGCACCCATGAAAAAAGCTGCCACAGCGGTATATGCCTGTGATCCCAGCACTGACAGTAGGATCCCTAGAGTTTGTTGGTCAACCTGTCAAACAAATCAGTGAGCACCAGGTTCAGTTACAGATTCTTGTCTCAATAAATAAGGTAGAAAATGATAGAGGAAGACACTTCACATTGATATCTGGCCTCTGCCCACACAAGTACACACAGACATGTATATACACAGAGTTTCATATATTTACATATGAACATGCACACACATAAAGTAATTTCTTTTCCCGAGTAACAGTTCAACCAATGTTAAATCCATGCATTCATAAAGTTGCTATGCTGCTGCTGTTGCTAAGCTGTTCCACACCTTCGGGTTTGCCCCATCCTCTTTTCTTCCATTTTAAACAATTTTATTATGGCCAAGCCATGAATGATAACAAGCTTAGTTGCCTCTGTAAAATATAGTCTCAAAGAAATGGAAAAAAAAAGAAGCAAGCTGTGTTTTACTATGTTTATTTGGCTACATCTAGGGGCCCCTCTGGCAAACAGAATTCTAGGATGGTCTTCAAGATTCCTACCCTCTCAAGTATATAATTCATGTAGTTCTCTTGAGTATGGGAAGATCCTGTGACTTACGTTGGCATTTTATGGTACTTACTCAGTTGACTTTGAGTTCATCAAAAGAGAAAGTATTTTCTTGGGTGGGTCATAGACTCATCATGTGAATCCTTAGGAGACAAGAAGTAACAGAGACAATTGCCTCCTGTCCTTGAAGAAGCAAATTACCACATTTTGGAGAGGGCTTTGTGGTGGGCAATGGCAAACAACCTTCAGATGCTGAGGGCCCCAGTCCTACGCCTCTAAGAATATATATTTTTCCAACAAGTGATAGGCTTGAAAGGGAAACCTGGGTTTCAGATGGGAACACAGCCCTATGTGACACCTTGATTTCAGTGTAATGGGGCTCTCAACAGAAGACACAACTTAGATTCAGAATCTTGACTCAATATTTGAAGATAATAATATCAGAGGAGCTGTTTGTTTTGTTTTGTGGTACTGGACATTGAACCTGGAGTCTGTCATATGCTAGGCAAATGTACTAGCACTGAGCTATCCC